TTCAGCTTCTTCCATCAAACGGATGCTGCTGCTGTACACGTTGTTATCGTCGCTGCGGTTGCTGCTGGTTGAAGTGGAGGTTACTCATGCTGTGAATGTACCCGGATACGGGTGGACAGTTGTTTCTGTACCACATGCGACGAATCCTCGTAGTGGGGAACCAGGCTTTCATTTGTCATGTCCGCATTAGGGCACTTGTGCCTGAGACTTTGCAAAAAAATGCAAGGCTCTTCAGCGCTTTTTTGGGAAGCTACGGTCTGCTGAAAGTCTGGTTGGCGGCTTGCAATTTTTTGATTCTCCACCTAGTTTGCACCCACGCCCATGTAGCACCCAAACCATCCGAAACCTTTAGCAGCCGGGGCCGTGGCCGTCCTTGTCCTTGATGTCCTGGGCGGGGACTCGGCAGAGATTCGGCCGAGTACACTCGACAAGTCTTCCACCCAAGAAAGGTTTTTAGATGTTTGAAGGTTTGGGATGCAAGACGATTGTGACTTTGCTCAAGGTATGTTTCCATACCGCAATCAGGGTAAATCAGGCCATTGCAGTACGTGCTTCCACTGCCAGATTCCCCAAAGCCAGAACCGTCTTCGGCAGCGCCCTGAATTTGCAGGATGTGGTTGCAAGCCAACAATGCAGTTCCTCCAGCCCTGGGATGCTCCCGCACCTTCTCGGCTCCCTTCTCCAAGAGCTCTTTGACAAGCTCGGTGTGGCCTTCCATTGCTGCCTTCATCAGGGCTGTCGGACCTCAGACACAAAAGCTCCCATGCAGCAATGATCGCACGCCACTGGCACGATCCTTCATGCTTGCAACCTTAAGGCGTCGCACTGTGGAGCCCATCCTTCTACGAGCGCAGCTCTGCAGTCGGACAGTTTACTTGCAATCTGTCGCCGCAACGCTCCTAGCAAGCCGATTCCTACTGAGCCAAGGTCTTAAAATGGACTCACCCCACCGTCAACGCAGCTGCAGACGAGGCATGTCCTCCTGCCACCCTCGGAACCAAAATGATGCGCCGCCTGGCCTCGCTGAGCTCGGCACACTAAGGGAACCATTGTTACTTACAACTTCAAGCGCTTCGCGCAACCCCGTGCGGACAAGGCTGGCACTAGGGCCACAATGGTTGGCTTGGTGTCATGGCTCGGAAACACGTCTTCAAAACGGACTCTCTGCATGCGCACGCCTCTTCTCTTGCTCTTGACTATAATGTCAGTTTTGGGAAAACCACGAAGTCTCCGAAGCCAGTAGAGAGTCGCTCGCTCAAAGTCATGCATTAAGCATGTCTAACTTCCAGCCAGCCAGAGCTGCGGCGACCAGACCTTTCAAGACTGGTAACGGCATTGACTTTGCTTGGACAGAGACTCTTCCAGCCGGTCGAGAGTCGCTAAGGCCCAAGCAGGAAGTGCTTCAAGAAAAGGAGCTTTTGTACCAAGACGTGTATCGTCACCGCATAGGTGCTCCTTGCTCGTGGAGGTTCCGGCGGTACTCCGACACCTGAATGGGATCCCGGTGCGAAAGCTTCGGCGATGGACACTGCTCCTGTTTTGCTGTCCGAAGCCGGTCTTGAAAATCCGCTAGCAGCCCGTTGCCAAGGTTATCACGTTGGACGGCTGTGGCATAGGCATCGCAGAGTCGCGCATAGCTCACTTGGCGAACTGCCTCCTCCTCCACATGCGGCCAGACGACCGGAGGGCGATTGGGGGCACCACAATGGCGAAGGAATTGGCAAAGAGCTTACCAACATCAACTCGACCTCCAAAGGCTCAATGCAAACCATCCACCATAACCACATGGAGTGGGTCCCAGATCTGTGGTTACCCCCTCGATAGCATTGGCTTCGAACCCCGTGGTGGATATCACATCTGTAGACAATGCGAGTAGCAGCCCACCTTCTCGTCGAAGTCCTGGGAGCATGGCTACTTCTCTGCCCGGAACCACTCGCAGTTCCCAACAATTGGCAAAGTTGCCAACCGTCGAGCACCTGGAATGCTCTGATTCTGCTCGATCCAACGTGCGGTTGTCCACATCGCACTGGAATGAAGAGCACACTCGGCCATCGGAAGAACGTGAAGCTTTGCTCCATGTTGGCCTTGCCGCCAGTCGATCTCGGACTGCCGCAACTAGTGTGGGAGCTGCACCCTCGTCCACAACCAACCACTCGATGTCAGCAGGAGGTTCAAGTTCAGGTGTTCGGATGGTGATTGACGCGTGTACTGTATTTCTTTTGCACGAAGAAGTCTTAGAAGTCTCAGCAGTACCACATGGTCGCCTCAGTGGAGTCGAAAACCTGCTAAGCGAATGGGCCGGCCTCCACTAGGCCTAATGCACTGACGGACCACAACCCACAATACCACCCGGCACCTCGGGGAAATGACCATGACCAAGGTGATTACGAAAGTTCACGAGAATTCCGGTCACAAGACCGTCTAGCCAAGAACACACACAGAGCAAGACCGTTTCCGCCAGGGAAGTGTGGGGACACAAGTTCAGACCCGCAACGAGATTCCCCAAGAGGACTTACCATTGCCACATTCCTCGAGGTCAAAAGGCTGGGGGCCACTGTCGCGTCAGCGAGCCTGCTGAGAAATGCCCGATGCTACTTCCTTGCACAACGTGGCTACTCCGACGGATAATGTGGACTATATGACTATATGAACACTTTGCGGTCAGCCCGCGACGATAAAAGAAAATTGTAGCACCTCCTTGGCATCAAGTTTCCACTGCAAGGCTGAACTCGTGCGGATGGCACCGCTGGACATGCGGTAGTACCGTAGACAAATGGGAGCATGTGTGGCATGCTGACTCGCCTACTTCTTGGCGGCTTCAGGTGCGATGTTAATGACAGCTGAACGCCTTCAACAAGTAGCTAATCGCCTAGATGGCCATTGGGACCTGTCAGCACCTGACTCCAGCAAGGCCCCGGCGGCCCAGAAGTGTACGGAATTTCGCGTTGTCGGTGGTCAGCTGATAGACCGTTTTGCCTTAAACGGACACGACATTCCACTGATTCGCCCAGTTTACCGTCAGTAGAAGTTGGGTGGCGAGTAAACCTGATTGACAGGGCCAAGTGCGAGTTTTCACGAAGGGGATGGTGGCAGGCTTCCGAATAGACACGCCGGATCGGAAGCGCCACGTCGAGGCCCCGGCCATAGCTGTTCTTCAGGCCCTGGGGCATGCTATGATCACATGTGCCACTGCATGACTCTCGGCTATGCCCCTACAAATAGCTGCACATAAATCTGCTACCATCGGTTTTAGCTCAAAGCGTGCTGCAGGACCATTTCTTACCATCACCATCTGTGCCAGGTCTCCCTCTTTGCACCCCTGTCGAGGAGCAGCTTGAAACACTCCTCATGGCCACCCTGCATGGCGAGCATCAGCGCGGTGTGGCCTGGCAGTGCGGCGGGCTTTCTGGAAGCTTTCCTCTCTTGAGCTGCTTTGCCGCAACAGACTGCGACAGACTGCGCTGCAGCATGGCACCAAGGCCCCGGCCCTCGTTGTTTTGGCAGTCCTACCAGCGCGGCTTGGCTCCTCGGCATCCTTCTTCACAGTGCCCAGCCTTGTCAGCATCCCTATCCAGGAGCTCTCTGACGGACTTCGTCTTGCCGTCCATGGCCGCGAGCATCAGAGCCGTGCTGCCTTGCTGTTTGACAGGTCAGATCCGACGCAAAAAGGAGGCATCAACTCCAGGCTCATGCCGGAGCCGCCTGTCCTCGTCAACCCTTCCCGAAATGAAGTACAGACGAATCTGCCGTCCAGATATATATATATATATATATATAACAGTACACAACCACGAACAGGACCTTGAGCTAGTGACATCTTCCCGCAACACCTCTTTTGTCCCGCCAAGGCCCGAGCCATCCGCACATCTGGCATCCTGGCAGTGGCGTCTCTCTGGAGAGGGTGTTCCAGCGCTCCACTCTGTGATAGCTACAAGCCTTAGTTAGTTCAAGACATAGGTCAGAATTCGATACTTTGGAACACTATCGATTCGCGGGCCTACGGCCCGCAGATCCGACGATCTTAGGGGCTCTAAAGTCTTTGCAAAACGGGAGTTAGAGGAACTTTAAGGGCGCGCAACTCGCCAGCAGCTGACGAGCACTTGCCAGCAGCTTACGAGCTGCTTGCTGGCAACTTACGAGCACTTGCCAGCAGCTTACGAGCTGCTTGCTGGCAACTTACGAGCACTCGCCAGCAGCTTACGAGCTACTTGCAGCTCACGACCTTCGATCCCCGGATCGCCACCGGTGGAATCAGCGCATGGCTCCGAGGCTAAGAACATTTTTGCTCGCTGCCGGGCTACATTCCACCGGTGGCGATCTGGCCTCGATCCCTGGCAGCTCCGGAGCACGACGGTGCTGCAGCCCAGCAGCTTACGAGCTTCTTGCTGGCAACTTGCGAGCACTCGCGAGCAGCTCACGAGCGACTTTCGAACCGCAACTCAGCGACTCTTCAACCGCAACTCAGCGACTCTTGAACCGCAACTCAGCAGCTTTCGAAGCGCAACTCAGCGACTCTTCAACCGCAAGTCAGCGACTCTTGAACCGCAACTCAGTAGCTTTCGAAGCGCAACTCAGCGACTCTTGAACCGCAACACGGCAACTTACGAGCACTCGCAAGCAGCTCACGAGCGACTTTCGAGCCGCAAACCGGTTGCTTCCACGCCCTCCGCGCCAACAGAGCGCGCGCGCGCGCGTCGCGCCTCAAACAGCTCCGGAGCGCGACGGAGCGCCTCTAAACAGCTCGCGAACCCTCCGCGTGCCCTCAAAGTGCTTCCGATGCCGCGCGCGCCCGTTTTGCAAGCATTTTAGAGCCCCTACGATCGCGAGCCCTACGGCCTCCAGCCCTCAAAATCGACAGGCCTTCGAAGAATGGAATTCTAGCCTATGTCTCGAAACTAGCCTCGTAGGTGCTACAGAGTGGAGTGCTGGAACACCCTCCCCAGAGAGAGAACCCTCAAAATCGTCTATGTAATATATAGACATGGGAGACATGCGGCCGATCAACAGTCTTCGTCCTTCTGTTCCCCATCAACCTCGCCGTCCTCGGCCTCCTCGTCGCTCCTGTGACCCCGGGCTCGCTTCTTGCTGCTGGATCGTCGTGCCACCCGAGGCTTCGCTTCCTCTGCATCCAGCTCGTTCTTGAACCAGTTGATGTTCTCTTCTGTGAAGTGCATCCAAATGGTCTGGGTGTTGATCCCCTCAATCAAGACTTTGAGGCCACGTTCGCGACATTCGATGTCGAGCACTTCTGGCAGCATAATCATGTTAACTGCTTCCCCTCCTGTGGTGTGCGGAGCTTTTGCAGCGCCGCCCGCATCAACAAGAAGTGTCCAGAGCAAGAGGACAGCATCGAATCCCTACGGGAGCCTGAGACGCGTCAAAGAGTGCTCGTGCTTCCGCCAGACCGCTTTGCGGCAAAGGGCGGGTGGGCAGGGGCCAGAAAACTACGGTCGTTGGCAGTGAACATGAGGGACATGTTAACTGCTTCCCCTCCTGTGGTGTGCGGAGCTTTTGCAGCGCCGCCCGCATCAACAAGAAGTGTCCAGAGCAAGAGGACAGCATCGAATCCCTACGGGAGCCTGAGACGCGTCAAAGAGTGCTCGTGCTTCCGCCTTTGCAGAGGGCCAGACAGGTGCTACAAGGCCAGCTGTCGAGCAACTGGGCTCTGCCGAAGGCAGAGCAGTCCGAAAGTCCTGTGCTAACTCCACACACCCGAAAACTGCTTCATGAGCTGGCGAGCTGGTCAGATAGGGCCTCGAAGAGCTTGGCAGCAGTCCGGATACGGCTTCGGCTTGAGGAATCAACTTGTGTCAAGGCCGTAACAGCCGCCAGCTCCTGCAAGTAGTGCTCCAGAGTCCCCAGATGTTTTAACCGCATTGTCCATTGCAGATCCGTGGGAGAATGACCGGCACGGTACCGTTGGACAGCGCCACCGCCGCGAAGGCCCCCTGGGGTGAGCCCTAGCTCAGGCCCCACTCCCAGGTGGCGCAACAGCTTATCCCATCCATATCTGTAAGCGGCCGGTGACGCAGGCCAGAGGAGGTCGTGCGGCTGCAGCTCACTGAACACATCGATGAGCCAAGACACAGCAGCGGGGTCCACAACTTTAGTGTGTTGGACTTTGGGGCGTCCCCTAAGCGCAGTCTTCGACTCCCTGAAGTTCAAGTAGGCCACGCAGCCCACGTCTTCCATGAGGTCCGAAGGTAAAAGCAAGTCCGCTTTGGTACATTTCATGACCTCACCGATCCGGGCCAGGCCATAGAAGGCCAATAGAGTGATGCCGCACCATCTCGGCAGCCCCCATTGTCGCCCCAGGAAGCACATGGCCTTCACCATCGGCTCAGGGATCGGGCATCTGTGAGTCGGTGGCTCGATGGCCTCCCACCTCGATACCATTTCCCAGGCCAGGTTCAGGAAAGGTTTGGCGCCAAAGACTCTGCGTTGGACCGCGATGATGGTGTGCCTGTAGCTGCTGAGGGTCCGACCGGCACAGTAGCTGTAGTTCCTAAATTCTCGCAGTGCCATGGCGGCGAGGGCGGGATACAAGGAGAAGACAAGACAAGGATCGGACAGACAGACCGAGCTCCAGGACAAGAAGAGAGCCCAGAGGCGGTCTTCATACTGTAGCGTGGCAGCAGTTTGCAGAGGTTGCGAGTCCAGGCTGCCGGTTCGCTTTGAGATCCTGCGGCGGGGCCCGGGCTTCTTGGCTTCTCCAATTCGATAGCCCAGAGCTCGAGCACATCCAGGAATGTCCAGTCGGCGCCGGCTAGGATCCAGATCCCAAGCACCGTCTTCTCGCACGGCAACCGCAATCGCCTCAGTGAAGCCCCTAGGGTACGGTTGGGCGACTGCTGTCCAGGCCTTCCTGTGCTGGGTAGATCGTCCTCGCAAAACCACGTGCGGCATTCGGCACACACACAAGTGGCGCTGTCCCCGAAGCTGGAGGTTGGTAGCCACACGAGTTCTTTTCCTCCAGGGCGTTCCAAAATAGCACATGTCACACCTCCAGACGAGCCCCGAGTCGGGTTTTCGATATTCGGCAAATTCAGGGAGCCTCCACATGTAAGATGTGTCTGGTTGCTCCAACCACCAAAGAACCCCGTGCTCCTCACATAGCCGAATAACTCGCAAACACCACTTCGCATGCATGTTGCCCTCAATCGCCTTCTCAAGCATTTGTCCCTTCAACCACGGCAAGGATCAGGGATGTCGGACGTTCCTGATTCGAGGGGTCACTGCAGCAGAGAACGAGCAGCCAGGCGGCGACATGCCGACGCCCCGCACGCGCCCTGAGGTAACCAAGTCCTCAACTGTTTGGCGCACGCATGGGTCAAGGAGGTCCTGGTCCGGGCTGTCGCGGATGTCGTAGGTGATAACCCATGGGGCTCCGTTCCGAAGCAATGCGCGGGTTAAGCCCCTGCTCCCAGAGAAAAGGTCCAGTGCGCCACCGCGGTTCCAATCGGGCCTGGAACCCTTGCCTCCCCATTGAAACTGCAAGCCTGGAACGCCGAATAAATCCCAGTCTCGTTCAACTGTGCTTCCGCTCGTTGCCAATGTTGGAGCCGGGCATACATCAGCTCCGTGCGCAGCGTAGGCGCCCCTAAGTTCGGCACGGGCGCCAGCTCCACTGGTGGTATCAACCACAACCTTCGGCCTCAGATGACTGAAATCGGGCCCAGGCTTGCTTCCTGGGAGGCGAGCAATCCAAGCATCGAACTCGCCATAGTCTCCGGATGACAAACTGGACCACCACATAGGCTTCGGCCTCGAAGGTGGAGGTGGGGGCTTACCGCGGGTAGGTCCGTCAGACGGGTTCTCCGCACTCAAGAAGTACATGTAATGCGGGTAAATCCCAGCGCCTAGATAAGGCCCTAACGAAGCACTGAGATGGCGATTCAAGGCTTCAGAAGACGCCCGCCCCTTGCAAAGGGAGCCGAGGGCTACTTGCGAATCGATACCCGCCAGCAGCCTGATGCTCGCCTCGTTCCGCGCCACATAGTATTCCTCGAGTAGGTACGCTCGGAGTTCCTTACAGTTGATGTGCTCAGCCCTCCGGAACCCCTTTCGCCAGCGCTCGTGGTACACTAAGCTGGTAGCCAGGACCGAGGCCAGTTCATTCGGCACGAGGAAATCCCCCTGCGGCAGCTTTTCAGCAGGGTCAAGGATCCCCCGCTCCCGCATCCATGCTTTTCCCGGCGGGAGGAGTTTGCTCCAGGTCCCCTTTGACAAAGAGTGACGCATAAACTCCAAATTCAACCGTCTATCAACAGGAGCCCCGAACCGCTGCACCTCCCCACGAAGAAGCATCAGTAGCGATGATGTAATCCGCAGGCTTGGCGCGAATGTCGATTGCAATGGCGGGTCCTATGAGAGCAAGAGCCCAAAGTTCAGATTTGAGTTCACCCGAAAACTTCACAATGTCATTGGGGTCTCCTGCGTCAGCGGCTGCAAACAAGAGGTTGATAACCGATAGCATCCGCCTTCGCAGCAAGGCGATCGATGTCCAGGACCCGCACAGAGCTTTTAGCAACCCCACGGTCCCGAATCCCAGGCAGGCTACCCTCACTGTCACGGCGATGAGGGCCCACAGTCGAGCTCGAGCCGGCCGCACGACGCCTTTCACACCATCAAGCTCAATCCCCCAGAACTTTGCACTCTCCTCGCACTGAAAAGCCTTGCTAGCGTTGGTGAGCAGCTGGGCACCTTCGTAAGCTTTGTCAGCTCGCGACATCCGAACATCACTCTCAGTCTGCTGCCTCAGTTCCCCAGCCACATTGGTCCCAATGGCGATCCTCTCGAGCACAATCAGGTCGTCAATGATAACCCCAATGTGCACGGGAGATCTAGGGACTGGAGTGTTCAAGGTATTGAGCTCCTCGAGACGAAACACGGGAAGATTAGGCACATCACCAAAAATAAGGCGAAGGTCATCATGGCAAAGAGCACCCGCCAAGCAATTGCGGGCCGTCCTCTCACGACTTACTTTGAACTGGTAAAAGAAGTCTCGAAGATCCCGGCCTGAAGCGATCAGCTTCTCGTCGTCTTCCAGGAATATCTGGCCGACCTTCTCCGCGCATGCCAGGGCTTGGGTCCAACTGCTGAGAGGCAACTCGTGTGTGTTAGGAGCCCGACCATCAAGGATTAAACGATCTCGCGAGATGTCCTTCACGACAGCAAA